TACGCATGGGGCTATTTAAATTCACCTATAACACAGTTTCCTTTTTATTGAGAAATTATATAACTCGTTTATTAATTTTTGGTGAAATTAAAAAAACTAAATTTTTTTTTTATTATTAGGAAACTTGGGACAAATTTCTACCATGTTTGTGCAAAATTTCACAGGGGCAAGTTTTACTCTCCAAAGCCATATCCACTTATTTAGAATATTTCCTTTTGTTCTAGAAAACCTTGTTAAGAACTTTGCAGGTTTAATATCACTGAGATAAATTTCTGATATAAGATATGCATAGGATGTGAGCTGGATTAATTAAACAAGTGTCTACAAGTTTCCCATCTTGTTAGTGACAGTCACTGATGGGCTTGATAGTGGGTATTGATGAAGAATGCTTCTTTATGATATAATTACGACTTCCATAAGGTGTATATTAACCAATGAAAATTCATCAAAATTCACCAGCGTTGGGTTTTGATGGGTGAAAATTCTTCCGATATAATACCTTCTATGCTGTAAAGCAAGGCATAAATGTAGGAGATCTGAAATATTGTCTCATAACATCTAGGGGTGCAATTAAGGTTGGTCCAAGCCTGCTCAAGTTGCATCCCCTAATAACATCTTAGAATTCACAAATAATGAGATGTTACGTATTAAATCTAAGAGGTTAATTTGTTATTATGGCTATGTTTGGTAAGAGTGCAAATGCAGATATATACAGTTCATGAAAATGCATGGTTTGGTTTTGTATCGATAAATTTTGTATTCTAATTACTATTTGATTGTGATGGATATGAAAATGAATTCAAGACTAGAATCTACCTTCATTGCATTGATAAACTTTTAGTGCAAAGGTTTCTTCCATTTTCTAGGAGCAAACTTTGCTCCCATTTTGAATGCAAACTTGTCAGAAAAACTAAATTTACTGTCATTTTCAGTATATAACTTGCTCAAATGGATGCAATTTCACTTTGGTTCAGCGTTTGTACTTGTACCAAATGCAGCCAATATGATACTTCCAAATAAATGAAAAGGGCACATCTTTTTGTGACTCCAATTAAGGGTCCATTTGGTTCTTTGGAACAGGTGCTTGGAATGGCCTATTTGGATTCCAACCATTTGTTTGGTTGGAATGAGATTCTGATTCTCATACTTGGTGGAATGGGATTCTCCCATACGGGGGAACAACCAGTTTGGGCTCTCCCCTCGGGAATGGGGTTCCCATTTTAGAGTTTATCAATAAGTAAATAGTTACTGACAAAAAAACCCTCCAAACCTTAGTATTAATAAAATATTAAGCAAAATGCTAAAATATTTTTAAAGTAATAGCAACAATAATAATTAAGTACAGAAATATCAGTATAAATAATTAAAGTAGTGAAAAATAATCATAATAAAAAACAAAGATAGTAATTATTAAATAATAATAGATTAATATTAAATAGTATTAATAAAATAACAATAAATATATAATAAAATAATAAATTATTAATAAACTTATAATAAAATTTTCATAATAAAGTGCTAAGAAAATAGTAATTATATATCATAAAATATTAATAACTTCACAGTAAAATACTAAGATATTGGTTATTAAATACTAATTAAACAATAATAGAGTAGTAATAAAATAATAATACAACAAAAATATAAAGTGATAATAAAATAATAAAAGAATAATAACAAAATATTAATGCACTGATACAAAATTGAAAATTTTGGGTTGATTTTGACTCCAAATGAACTAAACAAAAATAACGGGAATCCAATTCCGATTCCTATCTAAATCAAACAGGCATTGGGAATATGCAATTCTGATTCGAATTCCAATCTTGACAGTAAGCCAAACTGACCCTAAATATCTACAAGTCAGTGATGGATGTGATGTTTTAAATTTTGTGACCCTCAAAATGTGCAAGAGGTAGAGGATTTATGTGAGATTTAATTGGAAAGAGCTTCCAATTAATTGGGTTAACAGCAGAGTGGATACGTCTAGGAGAATAAATAGAACAGATAGGTTAAGACCCCTTTTCTATATATTTAAATAGGTCTCCATATGCAATAGAGAAGGATCATCTGCTTGATCTTTGTTTGATACTCTATAACTGGTATATACCCTGCATGGGCTGAATACTGAGGGGTAAGGGTGTTAATGGCCCGGTTTTAGATTGGATTCCGTCCAGTTCAAAATCAATTTGGATGGATTGGACGGACCAACAAGACATATTGGATTGGACCAATCTGGTCCAAAATGCTTATTAGATTAGATTGGACCTGATCCGTTCGTAACAAATTTATATTAGATTGGGTTGGATTAAGCCAATATCTGGTCCATTGATATAAGATAAGAATATGTGTCAATGGACCGGGTTTAGGTTGAAACCAATCTAAATCAAATGAATTTGAAGAGATTGAACGGTCCAGACATTGAATTTCCAAATTGGTTCAAAACATTCATTGGATTGGATTGGACCTGATCCATTTATAATGGACTCACATTGGACTGGATTGGATTTGGACCAAATCCAGCCCAATTGACACCCTTACTGAGGGGTTCCAACCTTTAAAGCTTATTCTTTTGAGTTTTAAGCAATTCTTGATCCTATTTATGGTTTTAACAACTAAACAGATGTAACTTTTTAAATTTTTAAAAGAAACAGATTTCAAAGTTTCAGTAACAACATATATAACATAGGTTGGATCATATTCTTTCCAAAGTGATCTGATTGATGATCACAACTTGTTGCCTCTTCACGTATTGTGGATTGCATTTATAAGATAAACTCTGTTATGTTAAAAGTCTTTTCCATCGAATTAATTCATACTCTCTATAAGTTTAATACTTGTCAAAATGTATAATCTATCTCCTCAATATTTCCATCTCTGTCAAAGACCATTTTGATTTTTGTTTTTATAATCAAAAGTCTACTGGAGTAAATCAGTTTTTGGGTGGTGGTAGCTTGAGATCCTATCTAGGGTATCTTACCTAAAAAATTAACATTAGTTTTATTTGATATTAACTACTTTCACCACCCCAACTGCCTTTTCAAGATTTGACTAAACTCTTTTTTTGGTTCCTTCCTGCACTCTAACTCCAATACTCAAACTAAAGTTGTATGACTTTTCTTGTCTCCCCTCCTTGGTCAAAACATAAGCATGTTTAAATTGTATAGAAAGATAAGGTTAGTTATCTGATTGGTAATTTCATTTAATTCCCAATTTTCATTGAATTCATCTTCTTTCGATTGATGTATTTATGAGTTACGTATGCTTCATGTACAAGTAAATAGGATCATTATAGGGTACTGTATGGTGATAAATTTTAAGTGATACAATTCCTGGTTTCATGTAGAAAATATGGGTTTTTTCCAAGCCAATACCAAACAGACCTTTAATTTGAACCATGAACTTTGTTATCTGATTCCTCTGGATACAAAGTACTGTGACCCATCTTCTGAATAATGGGCATATTAATGCACAAATTGATAATTAATGCTTCTAAGCAGGTATGGCCAACCAAACAATACTGCTTATGAAAAGATTACCGAAAATTTGTTTTACATCTTTCTCTAAACATAGTTTATTCTTCTATTTCCATGATAAACTAGTTTAAAAAACTTGGCAAATTTTCTCTCTTTTTTACCCAATTTGGTCATAAGTTCTATTATAGCTGTATGCATGCTGCTGATATATAATGCAGATCTAAATTTTCTAGGTGACTATGTTTAGGATAATCATCATTAAAATCCTGCATAAGATTAAGTATATACAAAATTAGCATGTTAAGGGGTTGTTTGCCAAAGTGTATGATTTTGTTTTTGTTCTGAAAACCTTTAAGTGTATCTATACCTATCCCAAACAGGTCAGAGCTGCACATATAGAGAAGCTCTTCATGGAAGAGAAAAGACAAACAGAAACAACCCACTATTACCTAGGTTCAACCTAAGCATTTCGTAATAAATAGAAGTACCCATTTTTTTTGTAAAAATATAAATTCTCTAGCCAATCTTCATCAGGTTTTTGTCAAAATAAGTTTTTCTCTAATCGAGTATATCTGGTTACCAAACACTACTTTTTCCATAGTTTTTGTTAAAACCAATCAGGACCCAACACACATCCAAATCCACCCAACCACTGAATTACTTCATCCACTGGACTTAAGAGTTCGCTTGTCAAATTCTGATTGGTGCTAATCAAGGAAATTCATACCTACCAAAACTCTTGTGATAATAATCTTGAATTCCCTAGAAAATTCTAAAAGTGAATCAAAGTTCTTGTCTGACAAAAATTGCATGGTGTAGACCACGTCCACGTTAGTAGTAGCCTCCATCCCTAGGCTACAATAGGCACCAGTGTAACACTGTAACTACCAAATTGTCATGGTGCCCTACCAAAACAAAACATGGTGATCTCTTACATCATCCAATCCAACAAAAATATACCAAAATCAGCAAAACCCAGTTGCCACGTCATCACCCTTTCCTCCACGAGAACCCACATGTGCTCTGTTTAAAGCAACACTAATTAATTAAAGTCTTAAGCTGATAGATTTAATAAATCTTTGTCAAGTCTAACAAGATATGCCTCCACTACCAATTATACATAATTAAGCAAAAACCACTACCAGGAGGTGTGGAGGTAGGTTGGGCTAATGGGCTGACATGGACACCACCCAATTATAACACGGTCCATTTTAGTTAAATAACGGTGCTTCTGTGTTAGAAAGATCACGGTAATAACTGACACAATTGTCTTCTGTTGATTTGTTGACTTTGTGTAGTCAAAGAATTAAGGCGCCAAACGAACGTTTCACCCTTCAACGGCAGTTAGGCAGAGCCTCGATTTGTTTGTTTATTTTATCTTCCTCACGTTCGTGGGCGGAGAGAGAGGAAAAAGAGAGCTTTATCTTCTTAAAAACCAGATGGTGAAGCTACTGTTCTGTCCATTCTTTGGCTGTCTTCGTCAATTTTTAAGCTTAGCGAAGAGCCATTTTGATAATGATCATGATGGGTTTCTGTACATTTTCAAGGTCTAGCTTTCTTTGTTTGATCCTTCTATTTCTTGTTGTTTCTGGAGAAGACAATGCTCGAAGTTTGAATGACCGAGCTGCGCTTCTCTCTTTCATGTCTGGTATTGATTCCGACCCGGAGCTGGTTCTTGGGAATTGGAATTCTTCGGGTCTGAACATGTGCAATTGGACGGGTGTTGTGTGTAACACTGCGAAAGATCGAGTCGTGCAGCTTGATCTCAGTAGTCGATCATTGGGAGGGATTATTTCTGCAGCTCTCTCGAATTTGTCTTTCTTGTCTGTGCTTGATTTATCGGGCAACTTCTTTCGTGGTTCGATACCAGTAGAGCTTGGAGCACTTTCCATGCTCGAACAGCTCAGCTTGTCATACAATGTTCTTGAAGGGAAGATTCCTGTTGAATTTGGGTTTCTTCGGAACTTAGTTTATCTTGATTTGTCTAGTAATAGGCTTGTGGGTCAGATTCCGGAGTCACTTTTCTGCAATGATTCCTCTTTATTGGAATATATAGATTTGTCTAACAATTCTCTTAGCGGGGAGATCCCTCTATGGAATCACTGTAAGTTAATTAATTTGAAGTATCTTCTACTGTGGTCCAATCGGTTGGTGGGTCAGATTCCTCCGGCCCTTGCAAACTCGACGAAGCTTGAATGGCTTGATTTAGAATCGAACTCTCTAACCGGAGAGTTGCCAGCGGCAATTGTGGATAAAACGCCACGGTTGCAGTTCCTGTATTTGTCTTACAACAACCTCATTAGTCAAAATGGTAACACTAGTCTTGAACCCTTCTTCTCTTCTCTTGTTAATTGCTCTAACTTTCAAGAACTCGAATTAGCGGGAAATAATCTGGGTGGACAGTTACCTTCTGTTATTGGTAATCTTTCTACTACTTTTACACTACTTCATTTTGAAGAGAATCTTCTAACTGGCTCCATTCCTCCAAGTATTTCCAATCTTGTGAACCTCACCCTCTTGAATTTGTCTAGCAATCTCTTGAATGGATCGATTCCACCTGAGTTGTGCAGAACTGGAAGACTGGAGAGGTTCTATTTATCGAACAACTCTCTGACTGGTGAGATCCCTTCGGCTTTGGGCGACATTTCCCACTTGGGTCTTCTAGATTTGTCGAGAAACAAGCTCTCGGGTTCAATTCCAGATAGTTTCTCAAATCTTTCTCAGCTAAGAAGACTCATGCTCTATGAAAACAATCTGTCAGGACCAATACCTCCGAGTCTAGGTAAATGCATCAACCTAGAGATTTTAGATCTTTCTCATAACAAACTTTCTGGGTTGATTCCAAGTGAAGTTGCAGGATTGAGTAGCCTGAAACTGTACTTAAATTTATCAAGCAATCTCTTGCAAGGGCCTCTGCCATTAGAGCTCAGTAAAATGGACATGATTTTGGCCATTGATCTTTCATCCAATAACTTTTCTGTCGTAATCCCACCTCAACTTGGGAGCTGCATTGCACTGGAGTACCTCAACCTTTCAGAAAATAGTCTGCAAGGTCCACTCCCAATCTCCATTGGCAGGCTGCCTTATCTTCAAGTGCTCGATGTATCTTCGAATTATCTGGATGGGGAAATCTCAGAATCTCTACAGGCATCTCCCACTCTCACAGAACTGAATCTATCTTTCAACAACTTCTCTGGGAGCATAACAAAAGAGGGAGCATTTGCGACACTGACAGTAGACTCCTTCCAAGGAAATTCAGGCCTCTGTGGGTCCATCCCTGGAATGAAAAACTGTCGGAAGAAACGGATTCATCACCTTGTGGTCTTGCCAATTCTTCTCTCACTGTTTGTAACTCTTACACTGTGCTTCTTTGGGTATCCATTACTAAACAAGTCAAAAAGAAGACGCTCAGCAGAAGTATTTGGTGATGCTGGTGGGGAGTTGAGTAAAGAGGAAGAAGAAAGAAATCAGATGAAGTACCCCAGAATTTCTTACCAACAACTGATAGAAGCCACTGACGGGTTCAATTCCTCGAGGATAATTGGATCAGGTAGGTTTGGTCACGTTTACAAGGGCATACTCCAGGACAACACCAGAATTGCAGTGAAAGTCTTCGATCCTGGGATGGGTGTAGAGATCTGTTCAAGCTTTAAAAGAGAATGCCAAGTACTAGCGAGGACTAGACACAGGAATCTGATGAGGATTATAACAACTTGTAGCAGGCCAGACTTTAAGGCTCTTGTTTTCCCATTAATGGCGAATGGGAGCTTGGAGACTCATCTCTACCCAAGCCACAGGTCAAGCCCTGATCTAAGTTTGGTTCAGTTGGTGAGCATATGCAGCGATGTAGCCGAAGGGGTTGCCTACTTGCACCACCATTCTCCAGTTAGGGTTGTTCACTGTGATCTAAAGCCGAGCAACATACTTCTGGATGAAGACCTGACAGCTTTGGTAACTGACTTTGGGATAGCCAGACTGGTGAAGGGTGGTGGCGAGGAGGGGGCCATTACTCGCACAATTGATTCGTCTACCATGGGCTCCACCGCGGGCCTGTTATGTGGGTCGGTTGGCTATATTGCTCCGGGTAAGTAGTTAGTTTCCTTGCATATTAATTTGGGTCAAAACACCCTTTTGAAACTCATGAATTTACAAAAACCAACCCTATATTTTGCAATAATTTCCATTAGATGAAAGTGAAAAATGACTGTTTAACCCTAACATCCATTCAAATAAATTTAATAAAAAGAAACTAGAAGCAAAAATTCCATTTTTTTCTCATTTAGGAAAAAGTGTTAGGGATATTTTTAGAATAAACAACCATGAATCTATACCCTTTAACATTTTCTACTCAGTTTAAGAGTACTTTTGGAATAAAGAACCATGGGTCCATGCCCTTTGAATATTTTCCACCTAGTTTTGGTGATCATATGTTACAATTTTCATATTCTAAAACAAATAGTTTCTGAATAAAAGGTTGATTAAGTAAATAGGTTGCAAGTTATAAGAGGTATTTTAGTAAAATGCAAACTATAGGGTAGGTTTAAATAAATCTGTAAAAACTTTCCCTCTGACAATCATAAAAGCCTCCCTTGAGGTTTCACTTTCCTGAAAACCACCCCCATAGTTTATGAAAAACTATACTTGTTCCAGTAATGAAGATTTCAAAGTTATGAAATTACCCTTGCAACTTTTTAGAGAATCTTTCAATATAATTTAAAATACTGGTAATTGCCCTTCTAAACTTCACTAGAATAAAATTATTTTATTATTTTCAGTCTAACATGGAAATCTATTTTAATTAATAGTGAAAAATTCTTTTGAGGTATTTTAGTAATTTTTCATGTGAATTCATAGATGTAAAGGTAAAATGGATATTTTTGAAAAACTAATGCATTAAACCAACGTTTTCTGTCCATGACAACAAAAAGGGGGTGGGGACAACTGCAGGTTGTTCCAATACTACGAGGGAAGTTTTTGTGAAAATGAAACCATAGGAGAGGTTTTTATGCTTGTCAGAAACCTCAATGCAGATTTCTATATTTTACCCTAATTTATTTTAACTGATCTTAATAGAGTTATAGAGGTATCAAATCATGACCAGAGCCAATCGATCCCATCCAATTTCTTCCAAGTAAATTATTAGGGTTTGGGGAATTCCAACCCGATTTAAAATGGGTCCGGATCAGGAAAATTTGCCATTTCTAAGCTCTATTAACTTGTTCAGGCAGTCTGGAATGTCTGAGTAATTAAGTAGTCAGATTGTCTTCACCATTTTATGAAAAATTAATTGGAAGGTGTAATGTAAATTGGAGTCTATTAATTAGATGGATTTCCATCAAATGGCTGGGCAAGGGTTCGAACAGTATCAGATTGTCCGAACTCTACGTATTCTATTCCAATTTAGGGTGATACAGAATTACAAATTTGATCACCTGTTTATAATTGGATCAAATATATATCCACCCTTATATGATTTAGTATAGTCTGATTTGATTCAATCACTTAAAAATATATGCTAATATATTCTTTAGATTTATGAAGAATATATGCTAATATAACCAAAGTCATTTTTGTATTATTTTGTTAATATTATATATATACATTAAAATATTTTGATAATTTTTAGCTTAATTATATTTATTTATATAATATTCAACATCTGATTACAATTCGAATTTCAATAAAAATAATCCAAAATTGGACCTACCTATATTCGATTCGATCCGTTTACAGTCAAATGGGCAATCGGGTTAGACCCATATTGATGAATGATTTTAACATACCATGCAGCCTTGGTGAACCATAAACCATCAAAAGGTCTGACCCACTCAATGTGATGGTATTAGTGGATGAATCGATGGGAATTCGTGATCATCATTCTCCAAAAGCGTTTAGTACTGCATCAGATATCTCTTTCATCAAAAGACTACAAAATCATGGGTATTATATTTGACCCATCATGTCATCAAGTGCTGCAAATAAGAAATGCTGTGCTCGATTGTCTATACTACTGTAATTAAATGATTAATAGAAGCTTTTCATTCTTTATATTATCCTCTTTTTAATTGGTTTTTTGTTTTAATATGCAGAGTATGGAATGGGAAAGCGTGCTTCAACAAAAGGAGATGTTTATAGTTTCGGTATTCTACTGCTAGAGATTTTGACAGGCAAAAGACCCACAGATGTGCTGTTTCACCAAGATTCAAGCTTGCATGAATGGGTGAAGAGCCATTACCCGAATGATCTTGAACCCATAATTGAGGAAGCCCTACTTAGGTTCGTGCCACCAGTAACACCACTATGCGATGCATGGAGAGAGATCATCTTAGAGTTGATTGAGCTTGGTTTGATTTGTACACAGAACTCTCCTTCAATGAGACCTTCCATATTGGACGTAGCCCTAGAGATAGGTCGGCTGAAACAGTACTTAGCAAACCCTTGAAGAAGCTTCGTGTGAAGTTGATTATTCGAGAATAAAGATGGCAGCAGACTGGAGAATTTGTTCAACTTTTTGATTATATATGTGTCCATTTTATTCTTTTATTTGATTCAGTAATCTGAATTACATTCTCCATGTTAGAGAATAAAACCTATTCAAGGACTTCACTTACTAGTTTAAGCTTTTAGGTTGAATGGTTCTTTGAGATGGTATCAGAGTCATTTTGACTAAATGGTCTAGTGTTCGATTATAATTTATCAAGTTTCAGCACAAGGTATGGATGGGCCTGTGCTGTCCTCGCTTCAAGCTCAATGGACTTTCGTGTGAGGGAGCATATTAGAAAATAAAACCTATTCAAGAACTTCACTAAACAACTTAAGATTTTATATTGTACTGCATGCTTGTGAAAAGTACATAAAAGCATCATATTCTTGATATCTGGTTTAATTTATTATAAAGGATTACAAGAAATAGATTTTGTACCCTCGCAATTTTCTGAAGTGTCCTTCATAACATAAATTTTCCCTTTTTTAATTAACCTTCCCATAAGATCCTTGAAATTGATAAGGTCGTCCTTTGAGCCTATTGAGTGCATGTGGATATGCACCAAAAGAATTTGGGAGAATGACCAATCAGCCCAGATCAGAATTTTATAGCTCCAAAGTACAAGTCATTTCACTTCAAGAAATAATAAATTTGATTTTCCTTTTCATATTGTTTATTCTAATGTCTGGGGCCCTATTACTTTAACATCCGAGTCTGGCTATAAGTATTTCATTACACTTATTGATGACTACTCCCGATATACATTAGTGTACCCTATGTGGTCAAGAGATGAAGTACCAAAAATTATTAAAGATTTCCAACACTTGATATTCACTCAGTTTCAAATGGAAATCCAAATTTTCCAATCAAACAATGCCAAATAATATTTTCATAGTGATCTCACAGATTTTTTTGCTTCGTGCGGATCCATACACCACAGCTCTTGCGCTAGAACCCCCCAGCAAAATGGTGTTGTGAAAGAAAGAGCCGCCATCTTCTTGAAGTTGCTCGTGGGTTACTTATATACATGAAAATTCCTAAGCATTTTTGGTTAGATGCTGTATTGTGTGCTGCCTATCTCATCAACGTATGCCATCTCGCTTATTAAGGCACAATGCCCCCCATTTGCTTCTTTTTCCCAAAGCTCCCATCTTCTTTATTCCTATTCGTTTGTTTGGTTGTCATTGTTTCATCTAGGACCTTTCTCCTACTCATTGAAAACTTGATCCTCATACCATTTCTTGGGCCTTCTTGGATTATCCTTCTTCCCAAAAATGCTATCGATGCTTTGACCCTGTTTCCAAGAAGTACTATGTCTCTATAGATCTGACTTTCTTTAAAAGTGGTGATTTTTTCTTGGTTACTCCTCAGGAGGAGTGTAAGGTGGAGGAGAAACCAATTCAGGTTCTCCTCCCTCCATTCCATGTTTTTCATCATCGCAAGGGCCAATTAAATTCAAGAGCTATGGAGCAACTTGAAATTGTATCGCCAACATCATCAGATTCATCGGGGATAGATCATATCCAACTAGGTATTACCAATTTCTATTGATGTTCCTGATCCTCTTGCCATAGATACTTCATTTGTTGATAATCTAGACATCCCCATTGAAAAAAGGAAGGGAGTTAGGTCTTGTACCACCAAGTATCCTATTACCTATTTTGTTTCCTATGAAAATATCTCACCCTCTTTTCGTGCTTTCATTTCTTCCATTGACAATGTCCATATTCCTAAAAATGTAGCAAAAGCTACCTGAATGGATAGATGCAATGAAAGAAGAGATAAATGCCCTATATAAAATTGGTACATGGGAATTAGTGAATCTTTCTGAGGGTAAGGAACCGATAAGGTGCAAGTGGGTGTTCACAATGAAGCACAAGGCTGATGGCATGAGAGAAAGGTACAAGGCTAAGTTGGTGTTCAAAAGGGTTTACCTAGGTATATGGTGTAGATTATGTAGATAATTTTTCTCCAATAGCCAAGATGAACTCCATTAAAGTCGTTTTCTCTATTGTGGCAAATCTTGATTGGGATCTTCATCAGCTAGACATTAAAAACGCCTTCCTAAATAGAGGCCTTGAGGAAGAGGTGTACATGGTCCAACCTCCTATTTTAGTGCCCTAGGCAAAGAGTAGAAAGTGTTGTAGGCTAAAGAAGTCTTTGTATGGTCTAAAACAATCATTGAGAGCCTAGTTCAACATGTTTCATCTGGCTATACAACAGATTGGTTACAAACAATGTCAGACTGACCAAACTCTATTTTTGAAAAGAGGGGAATGAAAGATTACAACATTGATAGTGTATGTTGATGACATAGTGATCATAGGTGTTTAGAACGTTGAAATTTAGAGGTTAAAGGATTTCTTAACCACTTAATTTGAGGTGAATGATCTACATCCCCTTTGGTATTTCCTTAGAATTCAAGTGGTCCGCTCACAAAAGGGAATAATTCGTTTATCAAAGGAAATACATCCTAGATCTATTACAAGATTCAAAAGATGTGGGCTGTTATTTATCGTTTGGATGGGAGAAGATTTAGGTGCCAAAAGACCTCGTATCAAGAAGACATGGGAAGCCCATTTTAGACTATTTGTAGGAAGCACCAAATGGAGTATTTCACATTTTTTTCAACTCCTATTTGCATGGAAAGATGCATCTTAACCAAACAATCTTCAAGCTGGTAAGATCTTAAAACAAAAGCCCACATTGTCTTTTAATTGTTAGGTCTACTAGAAGATCTTCTAATAGTTTGGATCGATATAGGTTAATGGCCTTAACTTTAAATCTTTTTGGTGTATAAACATGGTCTATTCCTATTTGTAGAATGGCATAACTTGTAATTCTTAATAATTAATTACTCGCAACAACATTTTCATTCTTTTATTGTGACAATTCTTATTATTTATTCTTTTAGAATAAATATTATTGGATTAAAATGGAAAGTAATGTATAAACATTTTGGGGTGTTTGTAAATATTTTTAGTTTAGTATTGTCTCTAGTTCTTTATCCACTATCTTTGGTTTGGTGTTGCTTTGGTTCCTAAGGCAATAGCCATTTGGCGCTCATGTGTGGAGAAGACCACCGAGGAGCGATCATGGCCATTACCACTAAAGGAGGAAGCACTGGTGGAGGTTGGTCTTATCCCAGTTGACATTGATAGATATATTTTTGTAATTGGTTTTTGTTGGATGTTAAATGTAGCATACTAACTTTAGTCCCATTGTTGATACGAAATTTTCTCAAAGGAAGAGGCTAGCATTTACCACTAGAAAGAAAACTGAGATGAATGCCATTGTGAAAAAGGTTGTTGCTGAGGTCAACAAAAAGCACATTTAGTTTTAGAGAGAGAAGGTGGTCATTTTCAAGGCCCATAAAAAAAGTGTTGAGGCTGATGTGACCCAACAGAAGAAAGCTGTGGAAAGAAAGAGGCCTCTGGACATTGTTGCAGGTGAAAGGATATAGAAAAGAAGGTTATGAGACTAGAGGCTCATGGGACACTGGACCGCTGGAGATGTAGGCACCACCACCGCTGGAGAGGCTCATGTATCATTTAAATTAAAAAGGTAGTACGTTTGATACCCTAACCCTAAAGACTTTAAAGAAGCAAGTACAGATAATACAGGATTTATGTGGTTCGGCTTATAATCTATGGGCAAAGAAGGAATATAAATCCACTATGTAATAGATAATGGAGAAGAAATACAGAATTGTGCTGTCAAAGAAAACCCTAAACCCCAAATACACTCAAAGAATTTTGCCTTTGGGTTTTTCTCAAATTAACTGGGAGTGGATTCTTGAAGCAAGTCACCACAAAGAATTCAAAACATAAACATAACAGTATAGATAACAAGTCCTTCATTCTTCGCATCATGTTCTAGTCATGTTCTAATCGAATTGGATAGTGAAGGAATGGGACTTCATCAGTATAAAGGATGTGGGGTGACAACTTTCCAAAGGTAACGCCTAGCTTTGCGACATAAAATTAGTAACCCGGGAGCCAAACCCTTATTTAATGAATGAGCTTGGCACTTCACAAGGGTGTTGAGGTGAGTACTCGGCCCTTGGTTGTTTATGAAGGCACAAGACCGAGTTAAAGGAAGAGGTGCAACGGGTGAAGGATCACATGACAAAGATAAGATATAATGGAGGAGCACCATATGCCATTTCTACTTTAAAGATGATGGAGTCTTAACTCTATGAGGCCAAAGTCACGATGTCTGTTGTTGTGAAGGGCCAACTAAAGGAGCAAAGGGGCCAAATCAAAAGACTGGAGCACAAGCTAGAGGTGGCCAATGCTAAGGTTATCATTGAGTAAAAAGCGTTGAAGTTGTACTAGAACGATCTGGTCAACTTTGTTGGGAAGTCTTTCGTCGAGGGTTTTCTCCGGCAGGAACAAGTTCTTGCCATCATTGCGAACTTCGATGTAAGGAAACTCAATCTATTCGAGGACACTTGGAGGAAGTGCAAGATCCAAATGCATCCGTGGCCAGAGTCAAAATCAAGGAGGTCGAGGCCTAGATCGGGGAGCAATGGTGTACTAGTGGAGTGTGGGGGTAGCAACGATGATGAAAAGAGTTGAGTGTGTTAGAAAATATTTCTTCATTGATGTTGTCGGGCCTTCGAACCCTTTAAAAGTAGTACTTATTAGGCCGAGGGCTCCTTTCATCTTGATTTATTTTCATCTCTCTTTTTTCTTTTTTTCTGTTGGCATCAAAGTATCCCCCAAATGTACAAATTCCTTTTGTTAGGTAATGAAGACTACTTTATCAACTGTTGTTCAGCTTGTTATTTTGAGCCTGCAACTTAATCTTAACACTAAGTTGACGTTGTGGAGCACTTAAACTTGTTTCATGAATGAGGGTTTGAGGTCTCAGCCCGTGAGGGACAAATGTATTGTGCAAGAATTATTCATAAATAGACCTGTTCATGGGCCGGGTAGCCCGATGGCCCGGCCCGG